CCCCCCCTTTCCCCCGGTCCTGGAAAGGTCTTCCCTTCCGCCCAGCTACGCGCGTGCCCGTTGGGGGTCCGTCCGGGAGTGTGCAACCGCCACAGCTTATGAGGTGCGGAAATGAGATCGCGGTGTGCGCGACTCCGCCCCGGCTTACAGCCGGCCCCCTCGGCGCGTGCGCGCGCGTGCGGGAATGGAGTGTCGGGCAGGACGCGTCCGTCACACTGAGGCGCCTCTTCCGCCCGTACCGATACGTTATGGATTTGGGCAGCGCACGTGGGCGTCGACCAGCACAGCGCGGGGATTAATTTATTCCTTTTCGTTCTGTACCCTTTCACAACTCAAAGTGGTGACTTGAAAGAACGACGGACTCCTAACGGGGCCGTTACTATGGCCCTAAGAGATAGAAAATGAGGGGGAAGGGTCAAAATAATATGACCTCATTAGGTTCACGATTACCATTGGAGTTCATAGGTACCCCCACCCTCTGGGTATCCCATGGTGTTTACATCCCAGGGTAAAAATATCAAGGGAACCCCGTCTTTGAAGACTACCAGTTTATATAGAGCTGAAAATCAGTACGACGTTGCTCTGCTCACTTAGCGATGCAGGCTATCCATGATCCATGTGTGAATGTGTGATGTGTAAATGTCGGACAACCTTGTTATTGAGATTCTGACAAGTTTGTTACGTCTATTCTGGAGTCGTTAACGTTCCAATTAACACGAGTCCTAACACGGTAATTCCATTGTTCCAGATCGAGAACATCCAGCGGACCCTCTCCCACGTGGAGTCCCTGGGCGTCGTGCTCGAGGGGATCTGCGCCAAAGACGTGCGCGACGGCAACCTCAAGGCCATCCTCGGGCTCTTCTTCGCTCTCTCCAGGCACAAGCAGCAGCAGAAGCAGCAGCAGCAGGTGAGAGACCCAAATGCATCATGCAGCTTTACCAACAAAAGATATGGGAGGGAAATTGTCAACAAGGTAACGCCAAAAAGTCACTCGACTTCTTAACAAATATTTGAGATAGCACAACCGTATCTTTTCTGATTCTACGCGTCTTCACGGAGGACGTTGTTGGAAAGATAACCTTTTCTGTATTATAATTGTTTAGTTTGAACACTAACATTATCCATTTGTAAATTGCAGCGTGCTGCGGAGCGAGATCGCCTGGGCAGGCTGGCTCCCGCGGCTGTCGCGGCTGCCGGGCCCCCGCACGCCCCTCATGCCCCTCATGGGGCGCCGGGGCCCGGCATGCCCCACCCCATGGGCCACCCCATGGCGCACCCCATGGCCCACGGGCTGTCGGGGCTGCCGCAGCCCATCGGACCCGGGCCCGCGCTGCACGAGGACATGCCGAGGTGAGTGCCATAACCCCCATTAGCCATCCCATGTGACCCACCCCGTGGCCCACCTGCTCATAGCCCTATAGCAGAAATCTCAAGGAAAATTCACACTTTTACCAAGTGTTGCTAGTTGAAATAAACGAGTATGTGACATTCACACTCTTGGCTTCTCCATGTGCGCCCGAGCTGGTGCGCGTCGGTCCCTGCGCTGCTAACGAGCTGTAGACGGGACAGCTATTAAGTCCAAAACGAAACGAAACGTGTGGTAAAAACGATAAGGGGGCAAATGAGCGAATGCAGCGAGCAGAGGGGTCCATGCGTGTGCGTAGCGTAATTGTCTGTGTCTGGAGCAACAAATTACCGGGCTGTGCCGGGCTGTGCCCCCGGTGGAGCCCTCCCGCCACGCCCCCGCCGGGTCAGCCCGGCTCCCCGAAAAACACTGTAATATGAGTGCTACTCCCGTGCGCCCCGCGGCCACGTTCCCACGCCGCGATCCCTCCCGAGATAAGACCCATCTCTGGCCCGCTGGACCCGGCTGGACCGGCTGGACCCAGCATCAGGCGCGGGGTAGGGCGGGCGGTGGGACCGGCCGCGGCGGTACCCCCTGTCCATGGAGAGACGCCGCGCCCCGCCGATACTCCCCACCCGCCGGCAATACTCCAGGCTCGGCCACGGACGGGGGCGTTGCCCTGTCACTTCCATAAGCAAAACCAAAAGTGCGCAGGAAACTTCAGTGTCGAGCATACGTATTCATTGTATTAAACTTGTAACTGTTGTACACACGGTGTCCAACACTTAACTACAAGACTAATGGAGCGCCTTACACTTTTAACTTTATTTTACCTTGGTCTACACTTTAGCCTGTCGGGCACTGTGGTGTGACACAAGAACGTGGAAAAAACATTAACACACAGTGCTCTAAAGCACACTGGAAATTCAAGTATACAAATGTGGTACACCTACAGGTGTGTGAAAAATGCTACATGCTTGTATGCGAGCGACAAAATATGCACACACCTGTAGGTGTGCGACAAAATATTCACGCACTTTAAGGTGAGCGAAAAAATTCATGCACTTGGAAGCCATTTACTCACCCCAAGTGAGTGAAAAATGATTCACTCATCAGCAGGTGTGTGGAAATTTTGTCACACACCTGCAGGTGTGTGAATTTTTCACTTGCCTGCAGGTGTGCGACATTCGTACACTTGAATTTTCAGAGTAAATTTCAACTAGACACAAATTTTTATCATGCTTTCTCTACGGGCAATAGTAAAAATTAACAGTAAGAGAAGTATAGATGGATGTGCTTAGAAATGGAAACTTCTTAAGTCGTCAAAAATCGCCCCTTGTCCAGGGTGTACTGGTGTTATGAGTGTATAAAAGATTGCATCGGCCGGGAATCGAACCCGGGCCGCCCGCGTGGCAGGCGAGCATTCTACCACTGAACCACCGATGCTTGCATGTCTTGTGTCAGAGAGGTGGGGGGCTTGAGCTCGGCGGCGCCGGAGCGGAGACCGCTCGGCGCGTGCGCGCGCCCGCCCCTGCGGTGGTGGGGGGACCGCTACGCGGCGTGGGAGAGGGGGGTACACGCCACACCCCGCCACGCCGCCACGCGACGCGGCAAGCGTCGCAACCACGGAAGGAAGCGTAAACCTGAACTTGAAAGCGAGTCCCTGGCCTTGAGAACCCTTCCTTTACGCCACCTTTCCAGCTCTCTCTCTCTCTCTCTCTCTCTCTCTCTCTCTCTCTCTCTCTCTCTCTCTCTCTCTCAAGCGCGCCTTTTGTCCTACTTTCTGGACACCCTTCTCGGTGAATTCATAAAAAAACGTACATATATATCAAGTGAAGAAATAATGCGCACGATATAATGGCAAATAATACACTGAGTCATCAACGTTTCTTTGTCGTGTACAGTACAGCGTAATCCCTGCAGTGGGGCTTATCTGACGCCGCCGCTGCTGCCCTCCGATGCCACTGCCCTTTTGCAGGCCCCGCCCCGCCCCACCCCGCCCCGCCCCGCCGCCACGCCCCACGGGGCCCTAACGCCCCTGGTGGGGCAGGGGAGGGAGGTGTGAGAATGCGTGCAATAAGGCACATTGTTCCGTCTCTCCCTCCCAGTCCCCTCTCCCTCCCCCTTCTCTCTCTCTCTTCCTCCCTCTCTCTCTCTCTCTCTCTCTCTCCCCTCTTCCTCGCCATTGGAACGAGCTGCGCTATGGTGAAGAGTTACACACCCCCGGGGCCGGAGTTTCGCTCCACCAACTCAAACTCATTTAGAATCTAAAGCCCTGGGCTCTCGCTTTGCTGCCTGCCTGTTCGACACGACACCTCGTCTGCAAGGGAGCGAAAGAGAGAGAGCGAGAGAGAGATGCCACAGATGAGAGACAGACGTATACACGGTAAAAACAATGTCTGATAATATTTTGTGAGGGAAAGGGAAAAGGAAAACATTTATGAAGAATTCTTCAACTCCCATATTTGAGGAAAATCTCCGGTTTTGAGGAGGGTGAGAATTTCCTCCATTTCTTCAAATCTGAGCAGTGTTTCCTCAAACATGGGATTTTTTAAAATGTTTTCTCCCTTTTTCCCGAAAATAACTGCGGGTTTGCCCAAGGATTTGCCTATTCACTCCGCCCGGTTAGTGAGGCTCAGTAAGGCCCCTTCCACTTGCTGCCCTACCGAGTAGGCGTGCAATACCGCTGGTCAATACTGGCGAGCGCAGCGCTTTCGAAGCAACACTCGGTATACGTTTTGCCGACGCCGTTGCCACCGCGGTTGCCGCCTTCGTGGTATACTGTACCGCCATGCAGGCGTGCGGGCGGGTTGCCTACGCGCACGGCGCCCAGCCCGCGTGGCCGGGCTGCGAGTAGAATGTTGTTTTCTCTTTGTGATGTGGAATTGGAAGGGTCGGCGCGAAAAAGTGATAACCGCGATGCGGTACTTCTTCAGTGGCTATATCTTCAGGGCAGTGCGGGGCAGGCACAGACGGCCGCTCCTCTGCTCTGTCCGGTCTCACGCGGAAGCAATTTTGCCCCTTTTTCGTTTCGTGGCCGCCGGGAGGGGCGGGCGGGGCGCAGGCAGGGCTCCTTTATTTCCTTCCTTCCCGTTCGTTTCGGAGAGCGGCGCTATTTGCAGTCGAGCGACCCTCGACGCGCGCAGAGGGTTGCATGCGCGGGGGGGGGGGGGCAGGGACAAAGGGATCGGAGCAGAAAAATAAAACATTTTGATCGCGCTGCGCTGAGATGCGCTGCTCGTACGGCCGTCTGTCGCGAAACACAAACGTATTGCGTTCCGGCGCGCGGATGACAACGACACTTCTCATCCGCCCCGCGCCCCTCGCAGGATCCGCCCCTCAAGACACAAGACGAGAACACAATACTATCGGCGTTATTTGTTCGTTTGGCCTCCCCCTTGTGTCTTATGTAGCAGGAGCTGGTTTTGT